CAGGGTGAGGCTTTCACTTCAAAGGCCTTCTTCCTTCAACTTCAAATTAAAGTGAAAGGAAAGAGCCAAAGTCCTATTTTAATCTATGTTTTTCTGCCACAACCTCCTGTTTTACTTTCTAAATCATTTTTATTCTTTATCCTCATTTCTCCAATGCTTCTTGCCATGTTGACACAAGAACTAAAACAAAACCACACATTTCATTTGGTGAAGCTATTCTAGGCAGGGATAAGACAACAGTGTTGTGGGCTGCTCATGATTACTTCTATCTTTTTTGGCCCGAAGGACAAGAAAATATTTAGAAATTCTTAGAAAAGTATGCAAAAGGATGACTAAAGTACAATCGGTGCACTTCCTGTTTTCATGCTCATGATTTTCCTGAAATTCCTCTTTTCTTTTTAGTGCACTTTTTATATCAGGAACACAGTCTGGAATTTTTTAAAGAACAATCCGTAACCTTGAAAAATTCCAGTCACTAAAAATCATTAACCATCTACGACAATATCAGATCTTCATTTTGGTGCCAAACAACTGAACTGGACTAGTCAGTGTGTTAATGTTTACCTTATGTTCTTCTGCCTGATAACAGAACTGCTGACATTTATAAAAGGAATAGGAAATACACCACGAAAGGCACAACCTTCAAACTGTTCTTTTCTCAAAGTTTTTCTGCAAATTAGTTATGTTAATGAATTGGCATAATATAGCAATAAAAACATCACATTATATTTATATCCAAAATACAACCAGATCTAATACTTCCAAGAAGAAGTCTCGGGGTTGGTGCCAGGGGAAGTGAACTGTGCGGTCAACCAACTTTGACAAGCGGTACTTGGCTCAACTTACTTTACTATTTCATTTAAAAAGAAAAAAAAAATGAGCGGCTTCATGCACACTATAGCACTTGCACTCAGACTATGCCCATAAAACAGAGGTTATAAACTAAGATGCACAGTCACAATATACAAAATAAGAGAGGCAATCCTATAATTCTATATAATAACCTATACACTGGGCCACCGTTACAGGCGACACAACAAATTTAAGGATAAACAACCTACTTTAAACCACATCATGAACAGGCATGCATAATTACAACCATACACGCACAGTATGCTCATAGTTTTAAAAGTTTAAAAATATCTGTCTCAGAGGCCATAATATGCATAAAAGTAGACATTTTTCTCAACTGTTAGCACAGAATATCCTCACCACCTTGTGAATGAGTCTAGCACTAGCTCTAATTATGGATACTGTGGTAGTTGCATGTATGACTTGAGCAACTAGAAAATCTGTGCTCAAGTTTTTTGTGAGTGAAATTCTAGTTGGCCTATTACTTCAATGATTTATTAACAAAAATTAGCAGATATATATGTGTCTGTGTGCTAGCTAGACATGCTACTTATTGTTAGCTTAGCACTCCACCCTGTTGACCAAATGTGTCACTTCTGGCTGCAAAACAAATAAGATGGCTAGCCTACGCTAACTATGCTATTAACTGTGCTAACTTTCAAAGCTCGCAAATAGTGACCCCCAACAAATGAATGATGAAGGAACATAGCTTGGATTCATCCTATTTTTATTACACCGTCATAGAGGTGAATATATAACCACAGTATATGATCCTATACATTCAGATAGTATAGATCCAAACACATGCTAGGTTTACACAAGTAATATCATTTGCCCTTGAAGGATAAGAGTGAATGTCATTTGTGTGTTCTCCAGTGTGTCATGCACACTGCACAGATATGGGTGTGACACATTTAGTGGACAAATTGATCACAGTCTGTGTCCTTTGCCCTTTGTTAACCCCCACCACCACTGGTGCTACTGCCAGCAGACAGGCTCCAAGCAGATGGGATAGTTTGAGGGGGGAGGGTTTATTTCTAACAAGCTTGTTGTCACTCAAGACTTTTTCTTCTACTTCTTATCTCTCACTATTTGATTTTACTTCATTCTTCTCTCTCTTGGTCACTTTCTCCCTTAGTTTATGTCCTCAAGTTACACAGTATTGATGTTTGGTCTTTTTATTGTAAAAGAGACTGTGCGCTAGAAAAAAAAAAAAAAAAAACTGGGTTGAAAACTGGGTTAATATTCTCATCTATTACATGTCCAGTTATCAACCAAGATCAGAAAAAGGTCCACTGTGGCTCTGCACAGAGAATGAACTGAGTAACTGGTGAGGCTGATGGGCGGCTTTGAGGATGCACTGGGGGAACAATCATTCAACTGTAAAAGTGATTTGGCTAGGAGGCAAAAGTCCAGACAGACAGATTGTGGAGTATATCATACACTTTGTCTGTGAAAGGGATTTTTGAAGCTGTCGATGGGAGAGACAGATAGAGAAAGGCTTTGAAATCGGTTGAAAGGGAGGAGGGGCAATGTTCTGTATAAAATATCCTTTCATTTAAACACATACACGCATACAGCAGGCCCACATGCTGTACAGTGAAACACTCTCCCATATTTATAGCCTAAACAGGTGCAACCCTACGATACCACCTCCACCTCTGTTCCTTCCAGTATTGCTGCTTTTCACACCTACTCTCCTATACATTACGTCACCTCTGACAGGAAATGAGCCACTACTATTCAAGCAGCTGTAGAGACTGCTCTCTTCTTATGGGCTTTCATTTAGTTCCCCTTCCATGTCATTTATTATTCATGTGTATTAAAGTCGATATTGTTTTCTTCTCATGATCCAGAAGAACAGAACTGATCTAGACCCATACAAAACATTAAAGCCCATCTGCTGTGTTTTTTCAGTGCAGTCTTATGCAATAGGAGGCTCTTTTGGGGCAACTTGAGCAGTTATGTGTGAACGTGCTGCCACTTTGTGGCCTTGCAATGCAACTACTATCAGATTGTTCTTTCACATGACATATTTTCTACACTAGAGGTCAGCATTTTAAAGGCGTGCTTGTGTGTGACCATAATAAAGTAGTGAAACTGCCTTGGTTTGGTACAAAAGGGTATAGTCCACATTTCAAGTGTTTTTGGCTTCTAGTGAGAAAACTCAGTAAAGCTGTTTCTCACATTTGGATATTGTTTTTGAACAATAGCCAATTTGTAAAGAATTTCATCATTTATTGTATCTTGTCTAGTGTGGTTCTATACTCGTGGATAAAACTGACTGAAAAGCATTGTTTGTCAGCTCGGCCTTTGTGTATTTTCATGACCATTTGTGTATCTGGTTTTTTTTAAAAGATAAACATAAATACTCACATTCCCACACATAATAATGCAATGGAAAACTGAAAAGCAGTGTTTCACCAAATGAGTTCAAATGATTCACGATGCAACAAAAACACATTCACAGATTATGCGTTTTAAAGACACACATCTAAATAAATAAATATCTGAACACCAAAGGGGAACGAAACCATCTGTTTGACATTTGCACTTCGGTTTTCATTATTTTTAAGATGTGTTTTATACGGCATGGTAAAATTCTGTCCAAAATATTTACAGCATTGAAAATTGGCCCTGATTTTCAGGCCCTCGCTGAGCACATTGTGCTTTAATCCACATGATCTTAAAAATAGTCTGGTAATGAATGGTTGTTTTTGCACAACACAACTTTGTTCAGCTAAAGAAATAACACAACACAAATTTATTTAATTGTTTTTATTTGAAATACACATGTAACCTGATACAGCGCTGTTCTTCTAAATGTACATTAATTCCAGTGATCGCCAGGACAAAAAAACTGCATATCTGGAATTATTTGTCAAATCTGACTGACAACAAAAGCACAAGCTCCATGATTTGTTGCTCCCATTGCAAGTGAGATTTCTACTTTTTTGACATTTAATAAGTTGCAGTTTTTTCAGGGTTGATAGCAGTTTAATTTATACTGAAAATAATGAGTTGCTGCCCTTATCAGCACTCTTGCTGCATAACTTAGAGAGTTATTATCTCTGTGCACTGTGGGGCTAGGGCATGAGTCATGAATTGGGTTGTTTTCTGTCTAAGCTAACATTGTTGTTGTTAAGGCAAAATCTATCATGGTCTACTACATCAAGTATACTTGGACATCTCAGCCAAGTTCAAAATTAAACCAGACCAGACATTAATTCATTAGAAGTTTGTAGGATAAAGCCTTGATTAACCCTTCATGTTTTTATATTTTGCTGGGGAAAATAATATGCATGTGTGTTTTGTGGCAGGTTGCTCTTAACAAAATGCCTAAAGATAAATTTTTAAATCGGATCTTTGCTAAGTTGTGTGTTATCTGTAGAGAAAGGTCCATCTTTTGAGTTAGGTGATGTTTTTATGGTTGAATTATGTAAAGGTCAGTGTTAAGTGGCTTAAGAAACATTAAAACATTCCTCTAAAATGGTCAAGTACACATAATGAGTGAAAAAGCACCCGATGTCCAAAGAAAAACTTTGCTAGACCTCCAGGATACCTAGAGAGTTATTACTCTAGACCGAGTCGCAATATAATCTGGCTCCTTGGCTGCAAAACACAAGAACTGAAGGCTGCAACAAGACTTTTGTACAGTACTGTAACCTAATGCTGACGGAGAGAATAATACATCTAACCATTCATCATAATAAAATTGCTATCACTGGTTTTTGCACTCCTGGAGTACTTCAAAATATTAGCATATGAGTGAAAGGCCAAGCAGTTTCCAGGATCCACTTCTCACCCTCATATAACCTCTTAGATGCAAATGCCTTCGCATGACAGATAGTAGCCACTGTAAAGCGGTCATCACCTCTGACCCCTCTTCCTAAAGTTGTCCCATTTTCCCACTATTGATCCTTCAGATTCCTCTGACATTGAGAGTAAGTGTGACAATCCTCTTCCAGATAAAGGCATTTTAGGAGTTATTACCCATGGCTTACCCAGAGCTTATGTGTGAAACCTCTCCATACTGAAGGGGCACTGAAATGGACCATTAAAGTTAACTATGCCGGGGTAGTGTGTGGTTCAAAGGTTGCACTCTTTCTCCTGGAGTATTCTGTTCAGTAGCTTTTAAGTCCTCTGATGCTACAGATAGAGGCACATGAGGGTCAACTGGAAAAGGCAGACAATGAGGGAATTCAGCATGATGGGTAAGCAACTCTCATACATCAGTTCAACAATGTCTTTGTTGTAATTTGCAGGTTTGTGCCGTCCTTAACCTTCATTATTTTACTCTATTATCATATTTAATGTATTATTTTACTGTATTCATATTATCCCTTTATAATTTTGGGATTCTGCATTCTATGTGTATTTAATTTATTTATTTAATTTTTTAGTTTTTTCACCAAAAAGTTATTTAAATATGAAGATGTGTAAATTGTTATTATTTGATATCGGTTTTTTTTAGAATGTGTTTGAAGCCAGAAAGAGGTCAGACCTGTTAAAAGGGAATGAAAATCAAAACCAAGTACATGTTATGGGACCTAAAATGTAGCACACATACACATGGTCATTTATTATATTGTATTACATACAGAAGCCATTCATAACTTTCTAGGAAACTGGAAATTCATACAATCAGTTCGTGTTTTTAAACCTGTTCAGGTTTAAAAGCTACTGGTCAAAAATAAATGTTTAGCACACTTTAAATATCTGTGGCTCAGGAAAAAGAGAGTTAATTTATCAGAAGGGGTGAATAAGGCTTGTACAAAGAAGTGCTCAAACAGATTAGAAAAGTGCCATATAAATAAGTGACAGGACATTTATTGATTTAACAAGTTTATAAATGTAACCAGAATTTATTTTTAACGCTGAGAACGTTCTTATGACTTTTGTCTGGAATTTGTTTTACTGATTTTTGTCCCTCAACAGAGAAAATAGAAGTGCTGACACTCACACTTGTCCTGCTGTGCACTGTCTCTGGATTTTCACAGAGTACGTATTACATTCCAGTAAGTTAAAGCTAGAAAGTTTTTAGCATTTTTGAGTTGACATTCTTTCAGTAAAGATAATCGTTTACAGATCTACGCCCTGACATTCCCGTAAACACCTTTCATGTTAATTATGCTAGTTGTTGTAACGGGAAAGTGTAGCTTTTTAGTGCTTATTTAAATGTATGAACTTTCTGTCATTGCATTGTACAACAGGACTGACTTTCGCTCAGATAGACGGATGGAACAGCCATGACCAGTCTGACTTGAGAAATAAGGAGCTTAGCGATGTTTTTACATCTGCAGAGATGAGAAAAAATGGCACAGAAAATATTTCTGAGGAATCCACTCAAATGACAAAAACTGAGGAACAGAGGGGTGAAAGGAATACCTCAGAGAGGAACCCTACTAGAGAGCTTGTCGAGAAAGTAAAGACTGTGATGGAAAGAAGGGGAGATGGACTGACTTCACAGATAGAAACAGAAATGGAGGAAAACACAGAGCGTGAAACGACCACAGCTGGCAGCATAGAAGGACTCTTTGTAAAGAAAAGCGATGAAGGCTACACCCCTGAGAAATTTCTCACAAGTAGTCTTTTACAAGAAGGAAGAAAAAGAAAGATCTACTCTGTACCAGACACAGCTGAATATGTAGATACAGATAAAGAGGTTGCATCAAAAATGAGAGAAAATGGACCGAGTTTGGACCCTGCCTCAAAGACAGAGACACACAATGAGAGCAGGAGACTGACGCGTACTGGGAAAAAATGGAAAATAGATCATGATCACGATGCAGTGATACCAGAGGAAGCGAATCACAACAGGATAGATGTGAAAGTGAAGAGAAGTGATCAAATAGAGAGGCTGAAACAAAAAATGGTTGAAGAGGAGCAAGAAGGAGAGCTAGTTGCAGGGATCAGTCATCAGGAGAAGAGAAGAGCGGCACAAACTATAAAAGAAATAGGAGACAAGGAGAAGGGCGCAAAAAAGAGTGAGGACATAGCCCATGCAGTCTATAAGGAATTAATAGAAAAAGAAGATCAGGTATTAATTAACAACATTGCATCTCCTTTAAGTATATTTCCTGCTCAGGTAGAAAATGCCACAATTCAAATTATCATCCATTCTCAAAATAAGCCTCCTGCTTATCACATCTCCCCTTCACTTCCTGTCACACCCACACAAATTCCTCCAGACTCCTCTCACCCTCCCACCCTTTACACCACGGATAGTTTTCAGTCTCCTTCTGTCAATATTCACATTCCTAACTCAGTCAGTCACATCACAGACTTAACAGAGAGTCCGGGGGGCCATCTCAAGCAGAAAGAAATGGAAGTGAAGGCTGGCTCAGTTATAGAAGATGTAATGGCTAAAAATGTTTTGTTGAAACCAGCATGGAAAGAGGTACAAACACACAGAGCAGAGGACAAGGGGGAAATAAACAGAGTTGTGCAACCATATGAGGGTGAATTTATCTTCTTGGTCCAAACAGCAACATCACAACCCAACAAAGCAAAGTTTTTCACCAGAGAGCCAAACTCAACATCAAAAATAAATGCCGTTTTATCTGCTGAAGTGCCTTGGCTTGCACACAAATCAAACACGTCGCAGTCGATGGGCAAATACCGAAATGTTGAACTGATGGAGAATTACACCAAACTTACAGGGAAGCAAAATAAAGCATCTTCTCCGCAACCACAGCTGAACAAACCTTCAGACAAACCACAGCTCGGAACTGCCAAAACACCTTCACCGAGGCCAGTGAAAAACAACAAGCAAAGCAAAAATAAGACCATCAAGAAGTCCAAGGAAAAGAGAAGGAAGAAGAACAATAAAACCCAAAAGCCACCAAAGAAGAAGAAAGAAATCTTCCCACCAATGCAGTTTCCTTACTTTATGGACAACTATTGTCCAATTGAGTGTGCCTGCTATGGAAGGTAAGACAAAGGATACTGAAATGAGACTAAGATACCCTTTCAATATTCTTAATATTAAATCACTAATGATTCTTTATTTGTATGTGTTGTTTTTAGAGTGGTCCAGTGCTCAGACAAAGGTGTGGATAAGGTTCCTTATGGTATCCCCTATAATTCCCGCTACATCCTCCTTATGAATAACTACATCAACAGCATCCAGCTGGACCTGCTAAATCAATATGATTCTATGGAGTTCCTTGTACTAAGCAACAATCGTCTCACAGATGGTTCCATTGAGGGAGCTTTTGAAGGGGTCCCAGCTCTGAAACGCCTCTACTTGGATAGGAATCTCTTACAAAGGGTGCCAGCAGACCTTCCAGCTTCTCTGGAGGAGCTTCGTCTGGACAACAACCGCCTGACCGTGATGTCGAAGGCAGCCTGGGCATGGTGCCCTGGCCTCTTGGTTCTGAGCCTCAGCAACAACAGCCTTTGGAATAATTCAGTTCCTAATGGCGTGCTCTCCCCTCTAGGGAACCTGCGCACTCTAAACCTGGATCACAACATGTTGATCTCAGTACCTCTGGGGTTACCATTGTCAATCAAAGAGCTCTATCTTAAGGGTAACCTCCTTGAGAGTTTTGGCCGAGGAGCTTTCAACGGGAAATCAGGGTTGGTGGTGTTGGACCTGAGTGAAAACAGACTGACAAACAAAGGGCTAGATAGGGATTCCTTCCTCAATACAACATTCTTGGAAAGCATCAACTTAGAGGGGAACAGACTAAAACAGGTGCCACAACACCTTCCTCTATCTGTTAAAACTCTAAATTTGGAGGGAAACTTCATATCCTCCATAAAGAAATCAGCTTTCAGAAGTTTGAAAAAGCTAGAGCACCTAGGCTTAGCATGGAATAAAATCTTTAAAGTGACAACAGGTGCATTCAGGATGCTGCCCGTACTGCACCAGTTAGACCTGAGTCACAACACACTGAAACAGGTGCCCAGACAGTTACCTAAGGGTTTGCACTCAGTAGCACTCAAGCACAACAAGATTCGGTCAGTGCCGCGTGATGCTTTCTGCTGGGGCAATAATACTCTCAGCGGACTTGTGAAAGTGCAGTTGGAGCACAATATCATTGATATGGCAAAGCTGGATGCACATGCCTTCAGATGCTTACGGGGCTTCCAGGTGGTGCACTTCTATTGAGCATCTGAAAAGTTTCATAGGCTTGGAATTTTTTTATGCACACAATTGAAATAAAAGTTTATAGTACTGAATCCTGCTTTGAAAGTTTTATCCAAGACCTGTGGTGAATGCCACTATTACGAGAAACCAATGATGAAACTCAAAAACAATATTTATTGTGTGTGAAATTCAGTTTATTGTGTGTGACCCACCAAAGTCTCAGTGTCGGACTATTTTTATGACTCAGGCTGCTTTTCCCCAAATCCCTTATATGGTAGGAAAACATCTGTTTGCATGCAGCATGAGCAGCCTAAGGTACCTCGAACCAGAATTGTATGACTGCAAATCATCATGTTATTACTGACAGTTTTTATTTCTGGCAGTTTTTCCATGACCAACTAAAGCAAACATTATTATTTTATCCCACAGTAATTAGTTTTTTTTTTTTTTAAAAAGCTGCTTTGTTTTATTAGGCTAAAAGTTAAATTAAGACTACTTATACGAAGGTAACTGAAGGAATGAAGGAATTAGAAATTTTAAAAAAAGAAAGAAAAGCAATTATGTTAAATGTACGTAAACTTGTTTAATTTAAATATTGGATCCAAATTTACTTTTCTTTTTAACATTGTCAGCATTGTTTTCATTTGTCCTAGTTTCTAGAATGTGAATATGTCAGATATGCTGACAGTGAGAGACGCTCTGTGGCCTATGGATCCATGTTTGTTTTGGGTAAACTGTGAGCTCACTGATTGCAACCATCTATTCTTTCCTCTGTGTGTACCAACAATATGTTTTATGAGTCACTGAATAACAAAGATTCTACTGATTATATGCCATTGTCGTGACACTCTCTTCACCTTTTCGTCTCCACTATAACATCTTACTTAACTAGATTTCTGTTTTCCTCAAATCTTCAATGAAAAAGTTTAATCATGTAAATTTGTCTGACTCAATTAAAAAACAAGTTAAAATAAAGAACTTGTTTGCTGGTGTATTTGATTGTTTGTTGCTCTTAAACAGGGTTTTTCCCTGTTTGTGACCATTCCAGCTTTCTGGTTCTTAGTGAAAGAACAAAGACAGTGTGATGGGGCAGTTTAAAGGTTCAGTCTTAGTTATCCTGTCGGTTGACCAATTATTCCACAGTAAATACATGGCCACAAAAATGTAAATACATTCCTAATAAACTAGCCACTAGATGGCAATAATGTATAGAAGAACGTATCCAATGAGGACAGCCTCGGGGTATGTGTGCAAAACTAAAGACAGAAATGTGTTTTTACCTGGCACAAATACAACACTGTGGCAGTTTAAATGCACATGCTTCAGGAAGCTCATCCTGTCAGGAAAATTATATATTTAAGGTTATTTATGGCTTCAAGGCTCACACTACAATGGGAACTTAATGTGAGCATCATGCACAAACACAGACAGGGGTAAGAGTCATAAAAAGATTTTCACTCTGAAGCAAATGTGTTTAGGATTTCACTCGCAAAAAATTAGAGAGGATTCAACCTGACCACAGGCCTGGAAAAAATATACATGACAGAAGATAAATGAAGAAGGGGAATCTTTTCTATTAGTGAAAAGTAAGACAGAAGGCAAGAATGGGGTAAAAGCATTAGCCCACGTGGAGGTGCTTAGCACTTTTCTCCCTTTTCCTTCTTTTCCTCAGTCTAATAAGTTCAGTCAGCAACGTGGCACTGCACCCATAGGGCCTGGGAAAGAGGAGCAGGAGGAGGGGGCAAGAGGGAGAGCCGGGATGAGGGGGGAGAGAAGTAGAAGAGAGGCTGAAGGAGAGGAGGGAGGGCTCGAAGAATGGATCCAGGCTCCACTGGTTCAGTGCGTGTCCAGAAGGGAAGAGCTTTGGCTGCAGCAGAGAGCTTACCAGCACCTCCTTACGGTCCAGCAGGACCCTGACCCTGAATCTCACTACCATATCTACCTGGGTCTTCTAGAAATCCTACTTATTTCTTTTTATACCTTTGTGCCTTTCTCTCCCTCCATCTGTCTCACTCACTTTTTTTTCTTTGTTGCACATTATGTTCCTGCACCCACTCACCTTTAAAGCAAATTGCATATCAATTTATGCATATGTGCATGCCTGCGTGCATGCATTTTTCTTCTCAGTACTTGTGTGGGAGTCAGATACGTCATGATCATGTGAACTGCTCCCTTGACACAGTCTGAGCCCGTGTGCTCATTTAAGCAGTTTGGCAGATGGTTGATTTGGCAGATTTGTGTACGTCGATATCCTGTGCTCGATGCTATCTGATATTTAAGCTTATCCTAACAGGAGGAATGCAGGAGTAGTAGTAGTAGTAGTAAAAGTTGGGGATTTTGCATTTTTTATTAAGAAAAGCTTTTGCACTGATTGATTTTCATTCAAACATGACTTATAAGGCAAAACAATCATGTAATATTTGACTAAAGCCCCAACACCACATTTACTGACTTAAACATTCTGTCTATTTAATTTAGCATTGCAATTTTACACTTATATACAGATTTCACTCAAACAGTCCCATAGGTAAAATGCTGTGACTGAGAACACAAAATATGCAATTTATTTAATTTTTTTTTTCACTCTAATGCTGACCAAAGTCATGAAACTCCTAGAGGAATCTGACCACAAAAGAGAGAATAGGAAGACAGAAAAGAACAGACTGAACAGGATATTAAACCACACCCTAGATGTGATCCAGCCAGACAAAACACACAGGCTGACTGGACTGAGTTGTGGTACTATTCAGCTGTTCAGTCTTTTCCTTTCCCATATTTGTAAAACTTATGAAACTTGTATAGATTATCAGATGATTTATATTTTATGCTAAAAGTTTTATTAGCTACAGCAACAATTTTATGGAATACGTATAAACGAAGTGATGAAGTGTTTTAGTGACGGTTGACACTGACAGCATATCATTTGTGGCTAGCCTTTTCCACATACGGTAATTGAATGCAGTTCTAAGAAAGACACACATAAAGAAATCATTTTTGCTGTGTATATGTGCTGGGTTTAAGGGTGTCTTGCACAAAGACACACAGACACATACACATACACACCGATCTCTCTCTCTGTTTATCTTGCTGTTCGGCACTATACAAACCAATGGCTGAATTCATCCCCTAAGCCGAGCTCAAACTCTAGACTCCACTATAATTCAACCCCTGTCAACCCTTAACCTTAAATCAAAGCAAAGATGAATCCTAACTCTAACCTTAAGCCCACACTCTGAAGATAAGATTGACCAACACGACCTCAGTTCTAAATCTCAAACGTAATCCTAAAGAATATAAAAGTCCTTGTGGAGATTCAAATGGCAGCTCGGTCCAAGCACGTTGACATTTCAAAAGCCAAAGGTAGGTGGCGCTTGAGTTAGCCCGGAGAAAGGGAAGGCAGAGGGAAGTAAAAGAGGGAGGGGAGCAAGTGAGGGAGGAGGCGATACAGAGAGAAACCATGGGAGCCAGAGGGACCTCTAGACACACACATACACACAAATACAGCCCATCATATGGCTCTGCCTCAGGCCTGCACTAACAATACACACAGGCATGAGCACAGAAGTCACACACGCACATATACAAAATGCTAAATTGCTCTGCACCATCACATTTTAGTTACACAAAGCTACTAAGGAACATTTAACGAAGACACCCATTGCAGGGCATTCATTACTAACACATGTGTGCACACACTGTGCACATATGTTACTCGGACTCCACAAGGGGGCCTGTGAATGTTTATCTTCTGGAGCGAGACCGAACATCTTGATCTAAAGCAAAGCACAGTGGTATAAGCAGTCGTTACACTCCAAATGGGCCACATAATGTTATCTAAAGTAATTCATTTGTTGGCCAGTTTGAGAAAGCAGAGAGTGGTTTAGGTGGGATGAGGGAGTCTCTAGAAATGTCACACAACAGATAAGAAAACTTGCAGCATGAAAGGATTTCCTCTTCTCTTCTTTGTTACAGTTGGAAACGTGTCTTACATTTGCTATCATTGATTTGACATTTTACTACTGCCATTAAATCCACCTGACACAGGCTTCTGACTAAAAAAAAACTTTGCAGGGTTGCAGTATGCAGAAATATAATTGCCTGTAAGTTATTCCCAACCTATAAGTACTCAGGAAACATGCTCACAATAACCTGATTTATCAAGTCTTCTTTACGTGTTCTATCCCAGACCTAAAAAAGCTGGTTGACAATTCATTTCACATAAAATAAATCTTCCAACTCAGTCTCCTAGCATTAAACTTGATGGTTGTTTATCATCAAGTCAATGCCTGTTTAGCTTTCAGCTTTCCTGTAGCTGGCCATTTGTTTGAAGGTGTTTGCACAGGGATTCATGCAAATAGCAATTACTGTACGTGCATGGAGCCAATCAGGGGTCCCTATTCTCTGTTCACAGTGAGGACAACTTTGATCTTTTCCTCCCTTTTATCTCTGCCAAATAACTAATAAGCATATTCCATTGCATCTTACATACTCCCTCAGCCTTTTTAAAGTGATCCATATGATCCTTCCAAATAAAAGTAGAGACAGCACGGACTTGTAAAGTTGTCCAATTTCCAAGCTGTTCTGTTTTTTGAGAACTGTAAAATCACCAGCCAGTAATCTCCTGCAGGATTTCCTGGAGCACACAACTTTAAGTCCCTGTAAATCTGGTTTTGGAGCCAATCAAAGCACCTTGTTTGTCTCATTCCCAGTTTGAGGAGCAATAAACAGTCTGACTTCATATCCATTCATCGAAATAAGTTTGAAGACATTAATCATTGCTTACTATTACAACAGTGATAACTGGGTTTTATCCAAAAGGACCTCCTGGAATTGGTTTTGTCAAATAGTCATGCATAAGATACAAACCAACCATAAGCCACTTTTGCACAAATACTGCAGCTCCCAAAATTTGTATTGCAGATGCAGGGGAGAATTAAAATATCTGACACAGATTAAACTCTTTAAGTTGCCAGCTCACCAGTCGAAGGTCCATGTGAGAATATTGCAGGTACATTCACTTG